AGTGAAATCTTGCAAATTACTTCCGGTAGTGCGCGATTGGTAACGGAGGCACAACTTGAATAGTGTTACATCGTGTCTGGAAACACAATAAAAGGGTATATTTCGTATTCCTACACAGTGAAACAGGACGTTAACAAGATCAGATATTTGATCCTTTATTCGTTATTTTAAATAACAAACACTTTAATTCTTTGTGTTGGATTTTCCAAAGGCTTCCTCTTTTAAAGAAGACGTATCTTTAGAAGTCAACAACAAAGTCAATAAACCTATCAATATTTTGATGTTACTGAACAAATATATCTAACATTTTCTTCTTTCTTTAATGCACTGTCTAAGTGTAATACGTATGTACTTACATAATCAATAATTCATATGCGTTTGTGAAGTAAAGAATGCATGGAGTAAACAATCATTTATTTAATGAAAGTACGTATGCATGTGTTATATTATTCAAACTTAGATTCAAACTTTAGACCACTAAGAATAAGGTAATTTTTTATGTCAAAACAAAGAAAATTTTTTCATATCTTCTACCTGTTATTTAAATTTTCTAATGGTACAAAAAGAAATGGAAACATGCAGAACTCGCATACCAATCTTGTACATTAATATTTTACATTCAAGAATTGCTTGACAGTTTTAATTTCTTAAAAAGAATCTTCATCTTTTTTTTCTTTTCAAAGCATGATGTTTTGATATTTGAGACCCTTATAATTTATTTTTGTATTCAAAAGAATATTTTGCAAAACCAACTTTAATTCCTACAAAGACGATGAAGCAAACTACACAGGACACTGTAACTTTAAAAATAGAGGTTTACTTCCTTTCTCAGGAACACTCATGAAGTAAAATGTTTCCCAATACTTTCAAGAGTTGATCCTGGCACTGTCATTGAAACCGTAAATTGCAAAGAAATTTTTTTATTCCATTATCGATAGAGCTCACACAAAAAAAAATAAACACTATTATTGTATTCATACGCAGATATTGCGTTGCCCCAGATTATCTTCAAATAGGAATGCTCTTTGTTAGAGATTAAAAAATAAAATCCCAAGCCGCGGTATAATGAAGTCAATATGAACTTACAGTATAGCAAACAAGCGCCAAGGGACATATAGTCATAAACTCTAGAGAAAAGAACTACCCATTAGAGAAAAGAAACATTTCATAAAGTTATAGAAAAAAATAAATGATTATCTGGTATTGCAGACCAGTGAGTTCATTTAGTAAACACTTTCATCATCTGATAAAGTTACTGTCGTGTTAACATACTCGCTTTATATTTTCTGACGATGTTATGATTAATATATGAGTTCGCACTCAGTCAGGGGATATTCTGATCAATGACCTATAACGATTTTTTTTGTTCGTGGAATAATTGTGTTAATGCTATAATGCAGCAAAATAAATGTTCATCTCGCTTTTTGAAAGCATGAACTTCTATTCATGTTGTATACAATAAAAATATGTTTTAATTTTTTGTTTTATTTATTAGCATCAAACTTTATTGCTAAATTGAGATTCTTTCTTATAAAAGTTTGATTCAGTAAGGGCAATGTATGAAATTTCCTAACTTATTTAGTTATATTCTGCTATCAAATTTTGCATATGATGTTGATATCTCCCATCCTATTCGAAACGCAAGAATATGCCCTGAATACAATCAATTTTTTAACCGAGGCAGGCTACTGAAAGATCAATTGATATTACAGAGATTTCAAGGACCTCGTTTAAGTCAGCATTTCCTAAGTCTACTTGTTCAACACAAAGGGCTTATGGCAGGGAATGCTTACTCCTCTTTTGAACCTAAACCAACGTCTTGAATTTCTAACTACCTTGCAGATTATCAAACGTTTTGATTATAACTTCTAGATAGTTTGATTTTATTGCAAAATTAATGTGTTCAGTTTAATTTTGAGTATAAGTTGATTTAATTTAAATAAATTCTTTTTTAAGACTATCGAAAGTTAGCTATACATAGTACAACGTTAATTGAACAATTTTTAATGTAATTATAATTCTTGAATATGTCTCAATCATTCTAGAAAGGAAATGTTTCATTCTTTTTAAATTTTTGCTCAAGAACGGTCTAAAACAGACATTAAAAAGTAATTAACAAATGTCACTGTATTGATTTCTTAATGCAATGACAGAATTATGCAAGCATTTTTTTTAAGTTAAATCTGGAAACGGGATTGGACTTTAATTTTGACGAAAGAATAATTCATATAAAAAGTACCATAAAATTCAGTAATTAAGATTTTATAAAATACTCAATCGAAAAGTTTATAAAAGGAAGAGAGTATTTCACCAGCCTTTGCTGAAAAAACCCAAGGTACCAACCACTTCAGCTAATGACGCCCGCGAGGGGTAGTGTTTAGATTGTTTGCTCCAGAGTCTCAGAATAAGGAGTTGATCTTTAGTCGGGCTTTTGAATTCCTCTTCGGAACGTGCAAGTCAGTCCTTCAAATGAAACCGTATAGAACATATAAAACACGCGGTCCCGTATCGCAGATAAGGGTACTAAAAATATACCTCATTGCTACATGGGTCCTAAGTGTCGAGTATAGCTCGAAAATGTGTAAGTAGTGACGCCCCAATATGTGTCGGGAGGGACAGTGAGCAAACAAACAACAACACAATTCTGCAATATTACAATTGAAGATATCTGCAATAAAATATTCAGAAAGTGCATCTCCATGGAACCAAATAACATAGACTGCGGAAACCTTACAAACCATGCAGTTACTTCTGTTAGTGCACGATACTCACCAGCTGGTAATGGTCGGTCGTGACCTTTTCACTGGACACGAGAATAGTATTGTGATGCAAATCCCTGCTTACATTCCTCGATGAGAAAGGTCAGCAATTGACCAAGTTAGGGAACAATGACTTGCACAATATAACATATCTGTAACTACAAGTATAGTATTCTGTCTAGTTCACAGAATTAAACGCTGAAAGGTATATACAGTATTTAGTAGTCAATTGTTATGACGAAGGTAATAAGCAATGAACTTTTTTTTGCCAACAATACTTTTACTATTGAAAATGTTCATTGAAAAGGTTGTTGCCCTCCCACCCCCACTTTATACTAGAGTAAAGTAATTTGAATGAAATATAGTATTGTAAGCTTAAAAATTGGATATTGAAAGAAATTGGTATGAAAAAGGTAATAGGAAGCCAATGACCTTCAAAAATACGTGCCTGTACTGTATAATATACATGTACATATATGTCACAAGACATTAAATCAATTTTTAGCAATGATAATCATCTTGCACATTAGTATCATATTTTTTTCTCTCGAAGAGTTCGTAAAAGATCAAGAAAAAAAAGAAGCTATATTTTATATCCATCACTGATCAAAATATGAAGCAGTATTTTTGTTATAGAATAAAATCTCAATGACATTTTAAACAACTTTGAAATTTTTTAGAATAGAATTGATTTACATGAAAAGAGATTAAAAAATTTGTTAATTCTGCAGAAAAAACTGTAGGTCGTGGGCTTGCATACTGACTGAAATTCCTGATGGTATCATTACGTCTTAGAAAATGAGTACGTCGGTTCTTTACAAGGAGTCATTTGAACTGGAGCTATAATATAAAGGATATATCAGATTCTGTTACTTTAAAATTACAATTAATAAAAGATTTAAAGAGTATTTCAAGAATAAGCCCCGATGATTTTTTATATCTGTCTAGTTTAATCTGCTGACAGTTATAATCTAATATTACTGAGACGAAATATGGTTTGTCAATATTATTATCGAGAGGATGTAAAACATTCAATTATTCAGGAACCACAAATGAAATTTACATGCTTTACAATAGGCTTTTATAACATTACTTAATGCATGATGCAAGAACATTGTCCAAATGCAGCATATTCAATTATCGACCCTAGATAATTCACAATGCTTAATAATACAAAGCGTTTATTTTGATTCATTTTGCATATGAAGGTCCAAAATCAAGAAAAAACGTTGCCCTAATTTCACGTAAAACATACTAGAATTTACAGTAAAATTAACTTACAATGGATATTTGATCTAATTTACTCCCCACTCAATATGGCTACCTTTGAGACCAAATCAGCAGCGGTATTCTTAACAACTGTTGACAGAGCTGTATCAATATACTTAGCCTATGGAGGTTGGATTATGCTGTACGTCTTCGGAATTTTTGACATTTTTATTTTATTTTAATATATTTTGCATCTTCACAAATAGCGTTGATAAAAATCAAAATCAAATGGGACCAATAACTCTTCTTTTGGTGCTACAGAGTTTTTAATATATTGCTTTGCGTTGCAATTGCATTTTTAAATGAAACATATGGAGATAACAAACAGTATTCAAGATCAAAAGTGTATAAAACAATACAAAAAGGTACAAAGAAAATATTCAGGTGCCAAATTACAAAGAAAATATTTCAAATTACTTCATAGAGTCAAAATTTTGACATTTCTGTACTCACAAAATGTGAAAAGCAATAAAATTACTTTTTAATTTTACCGATTTTAACATAATTGCCAAGCTTAACTGATGTATCCAAAAAAGTAATTGAAAAGGGCTTTGACGATCAATGAAATAGAATTTTTAAAAACGTTTCGTCACAATATATTCTTCAACGATTAACGCTTTTTTGTATTAGTTAAATTCTGTTTTTCTTTTAAATTTATAAACATACTTACATTGGCAATATTGGCAATATGGAATCCAAACCCATTATTAGGACTTAAATTTACTGCCGAGTTTAGGAAGTATAGGTCTTGAGATCATGAAACTGTTAAGCTTGAATACTGTTCGTTATCTCCATACATTTCACAAAGTAAAAAAATCCATTCAAAATCTTAGGATCAAACCCTCTAAAAATAAGTTACCCCAACTCACTCCCTCACCATCACAAACACATGCGTACAATAAATCCAAAAGCAAACCCACTTTTGAAGAGATTCAAAATAATTTTCCCTTTACAAAAAACGCAGAGAAAATATTTAGGTATAAACATTTATTGTATAACGTTATTAACCATTTTTCTCACACACATTTGTACACATTGATCAATAACGAACGAAAAATGGTCACGAATTCGGACTTACATTATCAGCATGGACAGATTGATAATATTCCATACATTCAGTGATAAGAAATAAGGATAAATAATTTATTCTATAATGAAAAATATAATTCCAGCGGCTATATATGACAAATGAGTATTTAATGTCCAGTTGTGGACGAGAATATTATTGTAGTTTTTATGTAAAGTCATACATGGTTCAACGTCAATTTAAAATTATGCTAATAAGCGAAAACTTGATAAAAATTCAACATTTGTTGCACAATCACTATGTATGATTATTCGACAAAATGAAGCAAATTCATCGTTGCTTTGTATCAGCATGTTTTCTTGTTAAATATTGTAGTGCACATTTAAGGATAAACGCAATTAATAATCAGTCTTTTAAAGTCTGTATGTATTATTTATCTCTAGACAAAAATTTCAAGCATTGATATACTAGACCAAGTATATAATATTTACCTTGGATATATTTTAATTATTTTCTTTAACAATCTTCTTCTACAATTTCCCTTCCAAACTGAGGAAAGAATTGAAAGTACTTTTAAAAAATTGTCAGCTTAAATAAAAACTTAAAAAAGAAACATATTAAGCAATGGCATAGCAGTAAGTGATGATAAAGATGTAAATGCACAAGCAAATAGTATTAAAAAGACGCCTTGGTTAAATTTACCACGATCAGATCACACATCAGAAGATACGCAATTCTTCCAGATTTACATGAAAATTCTCCACAGTACTCCAGGGATTGCTACAGTAGAAAACGGGACTGGAAGAAATCTGCATGTGGTGCAAAGATGGGGAAGAAATACGAAGTATCAAGCTCATGGTTTGTTTCTTTTTTTTAGAAGGATAAGGCATTGAAGCTTACAAATGAATATCGATATTTCGTATGCAACTGACAGACAAATGAATTGACTCGTCTTTAGGCCTTTTTTGATGGATAATTGTTCAGCTGACCATGTACCATCACAGATTCTATGAAAGTCTAAATGAGTGTTTACTGTTCGTTACGTTTTGTGACAATCCAATTTCAAAATCCTAAGAAAAGTTTTCTTAAATTGCTGATTGGCTAGAGCATAGCAGAATGGATTTATGGGGCTGTTGAGGTAACACAGCCAGTATGTAAACTGATACAATTTCATGTTCACGCATCCCCAGCCATCATCACAAACACCAATGATCAACACCATTATATGATAAGGCGTCCAGCACACAATATAGGCTCCAAGAATAAACGTAATTGTTCGTAAAGCTTTCCTGGCTCGGTTCTCCGACTTGGAATTCACTTTTTGACGATTTCTATTGCTTCGTTTTCGTTTATCTCGCATAGATTGTACAAGGTTTTGTAGAGGGCTCATGAGACTGGGTTTTTCTTTATTTGCATCATTATCACCATTTCCTTCGTCATTTTTCTTGTCATTAGAGGGTATTGTTGAAGTGCCGTTGAAAGGGGTTTTCTTTGACTTGCCTTCCTCGGCGCTCGTATGATTGACGTTAGAATCGCCTTCCAGTGTTGTGGAAATAGTATTGCTTGATTCCTCTGCAATGGGGATGGGCAAATAACGCCCTTCCCTCCGTTTCCAAACGGGTGAACATCGTTCATCAGTGGTAGCATCAAATGATATACTTCCATCCGGATAGATTTTCAGATTATCATTCGACGTTAGATTTTTCAGACTGTCCTCCTCTATATACTTACACCCTTGTAAAACTTCGTTCTCAAGAAGTTTGTCGGTTTGTTTCGATGCCTTTTCGTATGTTTCCGGTATTACTTGAGTATATGATGGAGGTCCTTCTTCTATCAAAGCTTTTGAAGCACTTATATCCTCGTTTCCGTCTGTCTCGGTTTCTGAGCCAGAGGTACCTGTGATAGTAAGTGCTATTTTTGAGACGTGATTAAAGGACATTCCTAGCATTCCTTTCAAAGATGGTCGATATGTTGTGTCGGTTTGAACTGCACTATTAACAAAGCATGTTTGCTCGTCGTCATCAATATCATTGTTTTTATAATGCATTTTTGACAGACCACAAGCCCCCTGGCTACTGTTATTTTCTTCATCTGATTCAAATACAGGGGAACTCGAACGATCTTCCTCTGGCGGCTTTGTAAAACTTGTGGACTCATCAGGACGCATTGGCCTTCCGTTGTTGTTCTCGGCACTAAGAGTATTGTTTTCCGTCGCTGACGCATTTCTGTTAGACTTGGAGGCTTGCTTGTTTTTAGAAAGTTCCATGGCAGTAGCCATCTTTTTATGCTTGGCTTCTGCTTTCTTTTGCAGCGCTAGAGCTACACAATATATCCCGGTATAGAGTCCTATCATGACACAAAGAGTGGTCCAGTAGTAACCAATTGTCAACAAGAAAGTAAACAATGGATCACTCATGAATTGAACCTCACACTGGTCAGATGGAACAGTTCGCTTTCCAACAAAATATTGCCATCCAACAATAGACGTGAAGAAAATCAGAGTCGGAAATATCCACGTAAGGGATACCATAATTATCACTTTTTTCTCAGTCCGCCATTGCCGATATTTGGCGGGAATTTTGACGGAGCAAAATCTATCCACCGTAATAAAGAAGACAGTGTATTGAGAGGCAAGACACACGGTCCAATCTAAGGATAGCCACAAGTCACATATTAATTCACCGAGAGGCCAGTATCCCAGAAGTAGATACAATGTAAAACATGGCATTGAAAATGATCCTATAAGCAGATCCGATACAGCAAGGGAAGCAATGAAATAATTTGTAGGTTGGCGGATTGTTCGTTCCAAGGCAAAGGACAGCAGTACAAGAACATTTCCAGCAAGTGTTACAAGTATAATGAAGGCCGCCAGAATCCCGAGTATGATGGTCAACCATAAGGGGTTGGGAGGTTCGAAAGGAGGAGCGGCCGTAACACTGCTGTTCGTGCAATTGTCACAGAGAGTGGCGTTCATATTCACATCCCATGTAGAGAGGACAGAACGGGTTGTGATGGAGAGTCCCACCATTCTAATTTTTCATTTACTGCCTAGAGAAATAAAGACAGTGACTGAGTATTCAAATGTCATGATTTTCATCAGCTCAGTTCCATCCCTGCCGCAGACGAATGATAGATACAAATTTTTGATTGAGTGAAACAACGCCAAATACGATAGGGTTCAACTGGTCATCGTCTGCTCATCTGCAAAATACAAAGTGGAAATTTTCGCTTAATAACTTAGATATACAGAAGACATTCTATACTGTAATTATTATATGAGACATCGATGCCGTGAACATTGATCAATCACTCAGAAGATAATCATCTTTTCTATTTTCTTTGTAATGGAATGAAAAATCGGATGCTAGTGTGTGAACTAGGGTATCGAAGGAGAAAATTGCGATCGTAAGTCAGCTGCGAAAAATTGGTCGACTTTTTGATTCGGATGTTGCTTAAATGTTTAAAGATTAAAGAAAATGAATTTCGGCACATTCTGCATAAACTTAACGTTGTCCCGATAAACTCTATATAATGCTTAGTGTGAATATTTCATTCAAGAAGCAGAATATTTAAAGGGCAAATGAAATTGATTATTAGGCAAGAATTTTTTATCTAAATAATTCGTTGAAATCATCTCTCATTATCCTATCAAATACTTAAAATATTAATGAATTTTAATTATCATGCTTTACAATGTTTTCAATTGTTATCAGACAAATATTTAAACAATGATAAATCATTTTTCTAAACTTTTAAAAATGTACTTGGTCTTGATATGAGAGAGAGAGAGAGAGAGAGAGAGAGAGAGAGAGAGAGAGATCTAATTGGTTCAATATAATCCGCTGCGCGTCATAGCCATATGAATTTTTAATATCCACATCCCAAACTATGCACCTTCGTATTTTTTTATCCTATGAATATTAATGACGGGTGTACAGAAGCAAATAGTATCAATTATTCCCTTGAGGGATTTTTTAATTACTGTCATAGGAAGGTCCTATGAAAGAGAATTTTTCAACACACAATAGTGCAAATAAGGATAAGGGTAATCGATGGAACCTCATTCAAAACCAAGATGACATGCAAGGAAACTGTTACAAAAACAGATGATAGATGGTAATGAATGTTAATCCGTCAATTTAAGTGGTCTAAAGAAGCTTAAGCATGTTTGGAAATTTTCACTCTCTGTTAAAAGAATCCCTAAAAAAAACTTAAATACACAAGGATAGCGACCATTGCGTGTACAAATTCCCAAAGATGCTAGAAGGACCTTAGACTGCTTACTTGATGGCGATACATTTACTACGTCTTATCTTCTTTTCACAGAAAGCTAAGATTTAAAAAAAAGAAGAAGAAATGGTTATGGCTCTTTTCTCTTGGTATCTCCCTAAAGCACAAGGCTCATATCCAAAAAATCTTGGCAATCCCTAAAAATCATAGTCTTTTTGGAAAAAAATCTATTTGAACAATCGAGTGATCAATTACTAGTAAACAGTGCATTCAACATATGAAAAAACATAATCATTCGCGTCCAAATATCTCAGATTCAGTATTTAACGTTATAACATTTCGTTTACATCCTTTTGAAAATTTAGCTTTGAGACAATCTGCTGTTTAAACATTTCCGTTATTTCAAAAGAATACCCCCGGCGAAGGCACACTCACTTCCTTAAACATTAAATAAAAATCAACATCATTACCCTGCAGCCGAACAGAAGAAATCAATGAGAAAAACCGACAGAGTGCTGATTTAAAGCCACGCTTTGCACTTTATAATTTCATTGCAACGAAGTCTTTTTCTCTCTTCCCCCCAAGAACATGATTTGTTCCCCAAATAGTCATCAAAGATTTTATCAGCTAAGATATTGGGCTCTATGCTTTTAATTTTGATGAATGGTAGATAGAATCTTAATGACTCCCGTTATGATAGTTTCCTGTGGTAGCCCTTGATGTGTCAATAGAACGACATTATGATGCAGTAATTTGATCAAATTATTGATGTTAAACACATTTATGATGGACATATGTGCAGCCTGAATAATCTGATAAGAAATTTATTTACTAGGAATTCAATATGTTCAATGCAAACAAATTATTATTTCAAATAAAATCATTGATAAACCATGAATGTTTTTTTTAACAAGGAAGCAAGCAAAAATTTCTTTTTTTCTGATCTCGTACAAGAAATTTCTGTTGTAATAAAAACACGATGTAAATAAAAAGTCGCTCCTCTTCCAAGTTAAAAATATATATTTATTGAAAGCCAATCTTGAAATTGAAAAGCAGTCCAACTTTCAGAGACTCGAAATATCACAATTAGTAATTATGTAATATGATAGAACTTCTCAAACCTCTTTTAAGCTTTTGTGAAATAAGACATTTCAACTGATAAAAAAGTATAACATTACAATGCAGAACAAGAGAATTACTAGACGTCGCCTTTAATGATAAACTTGAAATCGATCTTTACAAGCTCCTATGGAAAACAAAACATATAAGTACCCATCTTTCTGATTAATATTTCAGATCCTGATGTAATATCAAAGGATGCAGAGTCAATACAAGCATGCAGGTCGCTGATGCAATTATCACATAAACCTTGCAAGTTCAAATTGGAAACGGTTCTTATCAGTTACAATCTAACTCAAAATGATTATTACGCAAACTGAATATAAATGATGTTATTGCAAAGGTTTTAAGTAAGAAATTATCTACCATATAAGTATTCTAATTCCAGATCATAGGATTCAGCAAGAAATGGTTGCATTTCAAGAGATTTTAGTCAAAAAGAAGCGACAATCATTGACCATAAATGACCGCTGATTATCATATTGGACACATGTTTCTATTCATACATCATCATTGACACTACCACCCGCGCAATCAACAGGTCAAAACCACCGCGTTTCCTAAATCCCAAGGAATTCCACCCCCATTGTAGCAGACGACACGCCAAAGGGCCAAGGGAATTCTAAATCGATCCATTTTTTTTCTACCAATGGTCATATATATTAGTGCTTGACAATCAATTGTCGCTAATGAATTCACTGTTTGTTTAAGTGCAAACTCAATATTTGGGTTTGCAATCGGAGTTTTATCTTTACATTGAAATGTTGACCAAATCCGAGCTTATTTCTGTCTCTAAGTAAATTGGTGGATCGAATCACGCCACGATTGAATGTTTTATGTTTATCAACGTTCTATCTACCAGATATTGTGTTGGTACATGTACCAATAAAGACAAAATACAGCTCTAATCCAACAGATGTTGCTCAATGGCAGTCATTTGGGTACGCCTCATTCATTTACTTAATACATGTATGTGTATGTACGTATAACAAATCCTTTCAGGCTATTAAAGGAAAAAATTGCAGGGAGATGACTAAATTAGAATAAGCACTAAACTGAATTGTGTAATCATATGTCGCTCTTATGTTAGAGTCATCTGTTCTTTCGGAGAATAGCCTTCATATAAAAGTGCTCCAAAATGGCCCAAACATTTAGCCATTAAGTTAAAATGCATGTAGCTATTTTTTTGTTTTTGCGGTGATTTCCCTACCACACAGATCAATTTTAACTTCGTAAATGCTCGTAGTAATAAAATTAATGTATGGAAGCGAAATTTCATCTTCAAAAGCAAAGGGACTTATCTATCCGAAACACGTTAATATGGTCATAATAAGCTGTTCTTAATGACATCTAGATGTTAACAAATCAAAAATATTTACGGGTTCGATTTTCCTTTTCAAGAATGATTTTCATGTTTTTGGAGAAATAATATGGTCAAAACACGCAGTGGGTTTCCACAGAAAAAAAAAGCAAACAAAAGTAATCAAATCATTTCTGACTTCCATATCAAGGACATCGGTTAAGAAATTGACGAGGGAATCGGCTATTAGAAAAGGCTGTATTTAATTACCAGCTTTCAACAGCATTACAATGGCCAATTTTTGTGGACAATAAAATGACGAGCATGGACACAAAGGAAATGAAAGAGAACTGACAATGCGGGTTTTATTGATTGAAAATGTAGTACTTATCTTAGGGATAGGACCAAAGATTCCACTGTCAGTACGTATAAGATCAGAATGGAGCTACATCGTGGGCAAATCGGATCACCGATCTTACTCAAGGGGGCAAGGGAATCTATATAGACTTTCAAACTTTTAACTCTTTTTATATAGAAAGTTACTTTCTTTGTGCAAAATTACGCAAATCTTAACCCCGTTCCATTTCTTAATGCCTTATATTTCTCCTTCTAAAAGTTCACATTTTCAGCTTGTAAATGTTGAATTTACAAGGGGTGGTGAAAAATACAAAATTTATAATATGATGTTAAAAATAAAAATATACATGATAACATTCAAACTTCTGAATGCAAAGAAAAAAACCATGGATATGTTCTAACGTATTGCTAATAATTCCTACGATTTAAAGCATTTTCATTTGTCATATTTTTGTAATTCTTGGTATTGCTTTTTGATAAATGATTAAATGTATTTGCTACACTGTACTAGCAAAAACAGACAATTTTCGTATCTGCCAATAAAAAATCATTAGTGATGTCAAATTGCATATTACGTTCGAAACATTACACCAACCCGATATTATGAACTTTAAAGTATAATTAAAATTTGCCCGTAAAATGCGTAAATTGACACAAACATTGAAAACAGGGCATAAAATAGCATAGTTAAACTAAAAATAGCGTCATGCAATTCTATGCTTTGTTCTCAAATAACATATCAATTGATAAGTTTAACTACATGCTCAGTAGATCTAAGCTGGGTCTTGTATTTCCCTAAAACAAAAATCGATTATAAAATACCAAAGTTGCCGCACACGGAAATCGCTTACAGTTGTTCGACTTCGAAATAATCTTATATTCTACATCATGAAAAATTTAGAACGCTGATGAAGTAGAAAAAAGGCTATTTGATTATTATTGAACAAGAGATCTTCAAAGGACGCGCTATCTTACAGTTAAATAATTTATGAAATGGCTAGGGAAAGTGAACAACATAAAAGCAAAATACATCGGCAATATTTTTAATTTTTTTTTCCAAGAATGGTTTGTTTCAATGGGATTCAAACTACTTAAATGTATTCACTTAACAACCAAATTAACTTGCTATATTTTTTGTAAATTACAAACAAACCCCTGGTTAAAAACTTAAAGACAGTAGAATTATGAAAGAAATCGAAGGGGGGATATGAAAATGAGTTTATCAAGTATAGAATTAGACGTTTGCAAAATGGCGATAGAAAATATCATTAGAGATAACTTTCCCCGGAGAAGAGAATGGCACTAAATATATTCATTAAATTTTAATGCCTTTATGTCGCTACATGTAACATGGTTAACTGGAAGCGATAATTGAGTGCTGTCTCCTCAGACTAAACTAAGGCGAAACATCAGTAGACTTTTAAAACTGAAGGAATAGGTACATATTGATCAACGTAGAATGATAAACAATATGCACATCATTAAATTGTGATCAACTATTTTATCCTTCACGTCAAGTTATTACCTGTTTAAATATAGATTACACCATGAATTCTTAAGATTTTTGAAAAAAAAAATCATTAATATATGTTTTCTGCTCGCAGAATATTTTTAGGTAAAAAGTTCAAGTTATTGGGTTAATTGCGAGGAAAATATGCTCTTTGTAGTTTCTTAAAGTAATTTAATCACATTTAAACCTCCATGATTCGCATTTTTTAAAATTAAAAATCTACAGTGAATTAAAAATACACCTTGTACTTAACACTATATTAAAGCAGTGGCGAAATGGTGTTTAAATACATAACACAATTACAGAATTAATAGAATTAATTCCGTTTTTACTATAATGTGTCCTTTCCTTGGAAAGAACTCATACTAGTAAAAAAAAATAATTTTATGAAAAAAAACTATCATTAATAGTTCGACTTCTATCTTCAAGCAAGCAAAAAGTATTTTATGATTTTGCTTTTGTTTCAAATTTCAAACAACAAAAGCATATCTTCTCAGATAGTTAATCTCAAAATTAAATCAGAGTTGATCAATTTAAAAATAAATCTTACCTGCCGACGCAAAAAAAAAGTATCCCAAACGAAGCATCTTCGAAACAAGAAAAACTTCATTTAATGCACCACAAGAAGAATTGACCAAACCAAAGCAAAACTTCTCTTTTACCTAGAAGCATTCTGAATTTCTGTTGTTAAATTTTATAATTGGAAGCCAAAATTCAAGAAGATCAAAAACTCTTGAAAAGAGTTCTGAAAGCTCATGCTTCTCCATGAAGAACCTAAGTGTCACTAAACTAGCGAAATCATCGATTGGACACAGCATTGATTAAGTTTGTACTTCACGGATGCTTCACAAGCAAATCAATCGACCGTCACTCACCCTAGAACTGCAGGATTGTATTTCAGACTTGACTTTCAATTTGACATATTTGACCAAAGAATGACTTCAACTAGATCTGCAAATCCAGAATGGAATCTTCTCAAAGTAACATTTGTCGAAATTCCTGGAATTGATTTTCGGATCAGAATTAGATATTGAACGGTTATCAACTTGGAAAACAGGGAGAAAATGAGTCTGTATTCGCTAGATTATGTGACCTGTTCTGTCACAATCAGTGCTTCAATGCTTCTCTCAACTTTCTGTAGATATGGGTAAAAAAATTTCTGTTTTAATAGAATCAACAACATTTATAGATAAAAGATTGTTGCTTCTGAGAGCACGAAACATTGCTCTCTTAAGATAATTCAAAAGAGAAAATTTTATATATGAGATAGAGGGGCAATGTCAAAGGAACCATTCAGAAACCGTTGAAATAAATCCGGCAGGTCTCTGCTGAAGCAAACTTGGATATTTTTATCTCATAAAGTTGATAAATAAAGCAGATTGCCAAAGATGAGAAATCGGTTAAAACTAAATAAAAATACAGGTCTACTTAATAAAAATACGTAAATAGTATTCTTGAACACTTAATGCAAAGACAAGGGGGAGTTTTCACAAGAATTTCCATTTTTTCTATTTTTTTTAATAATTACCTATTGAGAAAATCTATATCTAAATGAGCTATCAGTCACAAAAATAAGCAATTCTACGAAAATCCACCATTTTCATTTTTAAGCCTTTTGGCATTATTACATAAACGATTCATATCGATTATTATAACTTTTTTTTATAGAAAGTGTAAAAGACCCTGGAGTTTTCTACTGCCAATAACAATCTTGCACTATGCAGATCTCAAGACCATTTTTTATAGTGGGCAGGGAAACCCAATATTATTCGTATTATTGGCAGTGACATATCTTGATCATTAAGGACAACTCTATCAATAACATTATTTCACGGATATATATAAACCGAGCTGAGGCTTTTTGACAATCCCATTATGAAAATAACAAAACAGCTTAAAGTTATCGTACTCATGGCTGGCTCTATATGAAATGGCGAGCTTTAACATGGCGGCTTACGGTTTGTTGTTGTCGCAATTACAACTGTCTCTTGGGTAGGTTAAAATTTTTCATATCACAAACAGCACTTCATTACTTAAATCCCTCCAGAATTTTCGATTGAATACATTCACTGTAAATACGTTAGGTGCAATTTGTATCATCGCAACATCTTTCACAGATATAGTTTTCTGGGACACGTTATTTGCTTCAGGATTCAGAGCACTTAAGATTTTTTACGGTGTTTGTTGTATAATTCCTATTTCAAAGTATAAGACAAGGATAGACAACAAATATGTCCACAATGATATGGAGAGGGGTAAAAATGAGCCCTTTTTAAAAATTTGCATCAACAAAAACTTTAAAAGTATATCTATATTACGTTACCTATATCTGAGAAAAAGGTTACAATGACATTTTTTTTATCAATTTAGAATTGGGTCTTTTAACACGTTTCGTATCAACATTGCATGAAATGTTCTCTTGTGATACATGTACATTCATTGCATAATTTTTTCACCCTATAGCTGGGAGTTTACAAATATTCCCCCCTTCAAAGCCCTTTTTATCACAGTTTTATGTCTCACTGATAATGAAAATATGATGATTTAATGGGAATTACATCTGTAATAAACCAGCTATATTATATCTCTGTGGTGATTTGGCAAATGCAACAGAGAAGACTGTCTTAAATTTACAACTAGACCATGATTGTGTTTGACTTAGAACTTTTATCAATGAGATCAATCGGGGTTATATAAATTGAATTAATGCTTTTCAGACAGCTTAGGTAAAAAAAAGTCAAGATGATATACAAAGCATTTCAAATCCATTGCCACGAGGTCTATGTACTTTTCTAATAAATAAATTCTAGTAATCTGAATTTAATTATTGACTTTATTAATTTCTTTTCATCGTGTTACGTACGTGTTTACCGTGGTACTTTGATTACAAAGTTGTAAAATGATACATCACAGGTCTTTCTGACCTTTGTACAATTTAGATTAATATTTGATGATAGCCTATAGACCAAGCATTAGGAAACTCACCTTAGAAATCATATTTCTTATAGCCTCAAGTCCAGATGAAAACGGAATTAGCAAAAACCAATAATGAGGTTAGACTTCAAAGACATCTGTTCTCATGTCTATCATGTTAAATGCTATCAGGCCTTAATCTCAATTACAAACATGTACATTGTATTTGTGATTATAGTTTGACATGCTAAAACATAATTTCATGTTACTATATGTGATTTGATTGGGACGTTTTTATATATCAGTCTGCGGATGAGTGATGATTTCTTTTAAATCAAAATCAGAACTGTAATATTTTCAAGTCCTTGGTTTCTATTCAATTAGGAAATTAATAAATTTTGATTTGTTTTACGTGTTAAGTTGAAATTGTCAACCATTCTGGGTTATTGCATGGTTAAAGTACATCGATAAAAATCTTACATTTAAATCTTAAATAAATGAGCTCACTTCCTATAATCAGAGAGGATTCTTGCTGTTATTAAAAATAGATTTTTGCTATTAAAAATATCTTTTTTTCCAGACCCCCTGCTAAAGCTTTGCAAAATGAATTCACGTCTTGCTCATTATGGTCACGTGTCAAAAAGTTGATAATAAATGGCTGGGATTTGCGATATCGACATTATTTCCGTTGATCCTTTTGAAAGTTATATTACCGTTATCGATCAAAAAAATTAATATTTCTCTTTATAATAGGTTAATTATTGTTTTTTTTAATCCCTTGCGCGTCAATTTCTAGGAAGTTGAGTACGTATTTGGATTACCCATTTTTGTATAATAAGAGAAACCTATTTGGATTATACAGAATCGGAAGATGGATTGAAAACATTAACTACTTAGAGCAGATATCTCAAGAATAATCAGAATTTGTCAAAGGTATAGTTAATGGTAACATTAAAATCCAATTAGTTATGTCTATAACAATTCATGACTCTCAATGATTTCCTTAAGCCTCAAAACAAAAGAGGAGCTTTTAAAAAAATCTCGAAAGCATCAAAATCGATATCACATCTCTATATAGATATTGAAAATACATGTACTATATGAAATTCAAAAAAAAGAAAGAGTACACTATTAGTGTATTAAAATACATCGTTATTTTACTGATGACGAACCGAACAATGACCAATATAGTTACTAGCAAATTAAATCGTCAACAGATTAAAATAGCGACCCCTGGGATGGGATCAGGTGCTTCGAAGGAGTATGCATCCCGAATCGCCGTGAACCCTATGTATCGGATATGGAATCACAGATCAACAAGATAGCACTGCTATAGCGTCAGACTTCTTAAATGTTACTTTGTGTTTGTCTAATATTTCATCTCAGAGGAGACATGCATACTTTATTCATACTTTATGCATGTTTTTATGGAATTGGAAAAAGCTATATGGATGTTCAGTATATGGTTTCAACTATATTCCCCTTTGAATATTTGTCTTGTCTCTAAAAGGATGATCTTTTGAATTTTGTATAATATTGATATCGCTATATCAAGGAAAAAAGTGATAACACGCAAAACATGTGGAAGAAAGGTTCTTGTTGGATCCAGAAATATTGAAAGTAAAAAATATTTTGTACAACAAAACCAGCGCCGATCCATGATTTAAAAAAGGTACCTTGAAAGATTATTAAAACAAATCCATGTTTATTTCAATGTAGCAACATATATTTCCTAGGTTTAGAGGCAATAAGAATGAAAGTTTCTAGAGATAAAGAATTCAAGATTTATTGCTATTCAGCAGATATGAGCCAAGAGGTATCATGTATTAAGATTTCAGACAAAAATCTGGAATCACGAACATCTTACACCAACAGATAACCTTCTAAAATCGTGTTCGAAGTGTTTTCTTCTCTTTTATCTCTAGTCTCAAAAATCACTCATAACACTCATTAATAAGAAAGATTAACATAGGAGTTGCATGACGCTGGCTTACGGCATTTTGTTAATTGAAAATCTAAGATGATTTTATGATTCCATCGGAAGCCGTTATATGTTAGATTGTATATATAATGTGGTGCTTCATTAATTTCTCTCACAGTTTCGTGAAATGTTGCATACTTTTAGCAGAGATACCTACTGTTATGCGAAAAGGCCGGGTTAATTTAGTCAGGTTTGCGAGATCATATGTACTTTATCATCATGGTTGATTTATTAACTAACATCAACGTTGATAAACATTGGTCATAGGAAATACTACACAGTGCATGTTACGCAATAGGTGTTAATAATCTCGCACAGAAAAGGGGTGAACAAAGTCTAAACTAACATGCATCGAACCAAAGAGAAATGAAAATATGAATAATAAGTGATGTGCACTTTTAATCAATTTTTCTGCGAAATCTGGACCAAGGTTTATTTTTTCATGAAGTAGTTAAAACTGACAGCTGAAGTTTATCATCTGGTCTTTGCTTCAAGAATCGAGATTATAAAGATAGATTTACATTAAAAATATCTTGAATTTTTAAATATCATATTGCCTTCAGAAAATAGAGAATGACAGCACTTGAACAATAAAAAAATGAATTGCAATGAAATATGGAGATAACCAACAGTATTCAAGCTCATAAGTCATTGCTCTCAAGCAATACAAATCAGGAGCAGAGCAAACATGGCCCTCTTAAGGATAAATAACACAAACAAACTTTTTTCAGAAATCAGCATTATTTCTCATAGATTTACATTTACATTGACAACCTGAATAATGTTTACCGAGTAGAGTGGGAGGATTTTATAAGATTTTGTCATAAAGTTAAAAAATTGTGCAAAATTTTGTATGGAATTATATAGAAGGCAAAATAAAATCTCAAATCTAAGCACCAAGGAAAACCTACGATTTCTTTATATTTCAGGGATTTATTATTTATGTCATTACAAATCAAAATCAGTCAAAAAATATATATCAACCCGCGCATCCATTTTTTGTTTGTGGTAAGTACCCTTTAACATCACAGGTGGGATCAGGTATATGTCACGGATTAGTGAGCATCCCGGCCCCCTTCCAACCGGTCATAATCGCCGCCTGCTCGAGCTCCTTGTCATGATCAAGAAACAAAAAAAAACAAAAAAAA